TTCCTTTGTTCGTTTGTTTTATTTCTTAAATTCCACATATGAGTAAAATCATTTGGTATTTGTCTTTCTCTGTCTTATTTTGTAACATTATACTCTCTAGAGCCATCCATGTTGTTGCAAATGGCAAGATTTCATTCTTTCTTATGGCTGAATAATATTCCATTCTTTATCCATTCATATCTTTATGGACACGGGCTGTTTCCATAATTTGGCTTTTGCAAATCCTGCTGCAATAGACATGGGGGTGCATACATCCCTTGGATGTTTTCATATTCTTTGGGTAAATACCCAGTAGTGTGATTACTGGATTGTAGGGTAGTTCTATTTGTAAGAACCTTCATATTGTCTTCCACAGTGGCTGCACCACTTTGCACTCCCACCAACAGTGCATGAGGGTTCTTTTTTCTCCATATCCTCGCCAACACTTACTATTTCTTGAATTTTTGATTTTAGACATTCTGATAGGTGTTAGGTAATATCTCATTGTGGTTTTGATACACATTTACTTGACGATGAGTGAGTTTTCATGTGTCTCTTGGCCATTTATATATCTTTGGAGAAATGTCTGTTCATATCTTCTGCGCATTTTTATTTTTTAATTATTTTTAAAAAATATTTATTTATTTTTGAGAGAGTGAGAGAGAGCAAGCATTTGTGAGTGAGGGAAGGGCAGAAATAGAGGGGGACAGAGGATCCAAAGTGGGCTTCGTGCTGACAGCAGAACTCAAAAACCATGAGATCATAATCTGAGCTGAAGTCGAACGCTTAACCGACTGAGCCACCCAGGCATACCTCTTCTGTGCATTTTTAAATTGGATTGTTTGTGGTTTTTTTGACGTTGAGTTGTGTAAGTTCTTTATATTTTAGATACTAACCCTTTACTGGGTATGTCATGTGCAAGTATCTTCTCCCATTCAGTAGGTTGTCTTTTATTTTTGTCTGTTGTTTCCTTTTCTGTGCAGAAGCTTTTTATTTTGATGTAGTCCCAGTAGTTTATTTTTCTTTTGTTTCCCTTGTCACAGGAGACATGTCTAGAAAGATGTTGTTATGGCTGATGTCAGAGAAATAACTGCCTGTGCCTCTTCTAGATGCTGAAACTCTTTAGTTATGAGGAAATTTTGCCTTTTTTATTTGTTTTTTTAAAGATTTTATTTTTAATCTCTGCACCCATCGTGGGGCTCAAATTTACAACCCCAAGATCAAGAGTCGCATGCTGCACTGACTGAGCTAGCCAGGTGCCCCTGTCTTTATTTATTATAGGTGATTTCTTCTCCATTTTCTATTTTCTTTCCTGGAACTCCTGTTACTTGGATGTTACCCCTTCTGAATTGATTATCATTTAGTTGTCCTATCTCTTTTCTCTCATATTGTATCTCCAGTAGAATAAAATATTTTTGTTTCAGTAAAAAATTAAAAACTATGATGAACTATCTGGGCTGTTTCCCCTACTTAGTTTTCCAACATTCTTTTTATTGTGATTTCTGCTCTCATATTTTTAGCTTGCAAGATCACTTTGCTTACTGACTATCCGTTTTTCGTAATTTCGTCTTATTTCTTGGATGCAAGAGAAGTGAGTTTTGTTGCTTGTATTGCCTCTCTTTTGTCAAGGTTCCTTTTTTTTTTTCTGTTAGTTTGATTTGGGTTTCTGTTTTTTTATATTTAAGGGGAGGCACTTCCATGTTGATTAGAAATTCTGTGCCCATGGGTAGAGGTAGTCCGCTTGCTAGGGTAATCAGGTGTGGCTGTGACATATTCATTGCACAGAATTCTGCTGTTTCCTGCCCGGGGCTGTATATTCTTGGATGCTAGTGTTCTTGGAGCTGAAGAGTGTAAGAATGCTAGGAGGTCCCTCTATTGACTGTAGTAACCTCTTCTTAGTATCCATGCTTTTATAATGGACTTTTACCTTCTCCCTCAGCTGTGCCTGGTGTCCCTGAGTAGAGAACTTTTCAGAGAGTAAAGCGTACATCTCCTGCTGGGGTTGAGGATGACCTGGGTCAAGGAGGGGATTCAGGAGGGTTTTCCATTCCTTTTCAGTAATTTCACCAGTCCTTCTGTTTTAGCCCCACCGTCGCTGTTAGAGTATCTTGGGCTAATAAGTCGGAAATATTTCAGGGATGGGGTGGCAGTAATAGTCTCGTTTCTTATCTGTTGCTCCCTGCAGGTGTAGGTGTCAGTTTTCTCCAGGTTGCTAATTCTGTTACTATATGTTTTCTATACCTCTACCATTTTGTCAGCATATCTCATGTTATAAACATGTTAACTGCCCTGATATCCTGACCTTTAAGTCTTTGGTCTTTTAAGCTTTTTGAGCTTTCTACTTCACTCTTCATCAGTTTCAGTTTTTCTTCAAAATGTTCCACTTGCCTTACCTACAAAAATGAATTTTACATCTCCCATCAAACGTTTATGCCTGACACCTCACTTACTTACTTCTAGACAATTAGTTCTAACCCACCCCCCTAGCAGAGTACCCAGCTCAGCCTAGACTCTGGACAGTTATTTAAATTTGACCTTCTAAACCACATGTGAACAAACATGTTTCTCCTAAAACATTGAGATACTGAGAGGCAGTTCAGAATAAGGCTTTTTTGTGTGCCCCTCAGTGCTATGGCTCAGTGACTCCAAGTTAGTAGGCAAATAAATAGGAACTAAAAAAGTAGGCAATAGAGAGAAGTGAGACTACCTGGCTTCCCACCCCCAGCCCCCCACTTATTTGTGTGATCATTAGCTCAGTGTTTAACCCCTCGTGTGTCAGTTTCCATTGGTGACAGCAACAATAATGCCTACTTTAGACGACTGATAGGAAGATGCAGTGAGATAACCCCTGCAAAGTGCTTAGACTAGTACCTCACAGGTAATCCTCAAATGTCAGACGCTTTTAGTAAATATGTTAGGTCGCACCTTTTTTATTACTTGATTTGACCTGTGGTGATTTTGAAATCCCAACTGTAATAAGCTACTGTCTGTGTAACTGACTCAGCTTTTGAGTTCTTAATCAGATTGTTTTAAGCCGTCTCTTTAAGCTTCAGTCACATTTAAATTCAGCCAGAGACCCAGGTATAACAGTGCATAAGACGTGCATAAGACAGTGCATAAGTCTCACAAGCTTTCAGCTAAGTGGTGTATAGACACAAGTGAATAGGAAATTATAAACAGTATGATAAGAATATGGGGAAGTATAGGTGCCCTGGAAATATACAGAACTTTTTTATATGAATTTAGGAGTTAAGGACAGCTTCCTAGAAAAGTGGCATTTAGGCTTAGACCTTATGTGGGAGTTAATTTGAAAAAGGAAACGGGGGATGGCTCTAAGCAAAAGTAGTCTGTGTGAAGACCCAGAGGTGAAAGAGAACATGACTCTGAAAACAGTTGGAGGGGCAGCATTAGGGAGTTCACGTCAGGTAAGGGGAGGTCGGCATAGGACAAGCAAAGAGAGGCAAGTAGGAACCAGCTCATGAAGGTCCTTGAAAGCCTACTAATAAGTTTGAACACTCTCCTTAAAGCAGTGGAGAGCAATGAAAAAAGGTTTTAAGTGGGGAAATGCTATCATCAGGTTTATATCCAAGAGCAGACACTTAGGCGGTAACCGTGGAGAAGGGCTTTGAGGGAGACAAAGATGGCAAGGAGACTAGTTCCTACACTGTGGAGTGTGGGGCGACCTGATCTGGTGGGGAAAGCATGGATATAGGCAGAACAAAGGAGGTAGTGAATCCACTGGATACGCTGCAGGGGAGCAGGGGGCAGGATAGCAAAGGAAATACTGTCTGCCAGGAGGCAGCGGTGGGGGGCTCTAATTATGGGGAGGGAGTGTGGGAGTATAGGAACATATGGAATTTTCCTTTTTTGGTACCTGTGCCTGACCCTAGCCCATTGGTCGGCTGGGGTCTGTGGATATTTTGAGGTGGGTCTCTTCATGAGCCTTTGCATGCAGCTGGGTGGTCACTGTGGCCGGCCCCTCTTACCTTAGGTTTCCATTGCTCAAGCTTGTTGCCTAAAAGGGGCCCCTGTTTTCCCCCGACAGGTCGACAATCACAAATCTTTGGCATTTGGGCGGAGGGCTCATCTTCAGTATCTGCTTCATGCCAGACCTAGGGGAGGGGTGTCCCTACCTAAACCTGTCAGTCCGTCAGGGGTTCTGTGCAGTTATAGACCAGAGCATGGTATTATATTAATGTGCTGATCAGCGAGATTCCCTGGTGGCCAGGTCCATGGGATTTAGGGGGAGGGGACTCTCTGATGGTATGGGCTGGAATTCTTGTTGGACCATCATTAGTATGTGGAATTGTTGGGTCCAGCAAATAGAAATGATGACCTCATGTTAGAAAAGTGGTAATGTGAATGTAGACATTCTAAATATTTGATTATGGCCTTAAAACTAAAAAAAAAAAAATGTGTCACACTATATACACTGAAATCACACTATATTTTGTGCTCTGCTGGGTTTGGGTCACAGGCTGTGTTTGCTGACCCCTGCCTTACACGCCTTGCTTCTACAGTCCTCAACACAGCAGCTAGAGTGATGTTGTTAAAACATATTTCAAATCTTGTTACTCCTTTGCTGCACGTCTCCCATTGGCTTCCTGCCTTACTTGGAGAGAAGGCCAGAGTTCACACCATGGCTGACAAGGCCCTTTATGATTTGTGCCTGATTGGTTAGAGCAGGCTAACTGACGGAATAGGCAAACCCAAATTGTCAGTGGCTTCATACAAGAGCAATGTATTTTGTATAAAAGTTCATTTGGCAGGGAGGTGATTTCACTGTCTCACAGTCATTCCAGGACACAATTGACAGACGTTCCTCTGTTTTCAGTGTACATTCTCAAGGTCTCTCTGGGCCTTGACAGCATAAGGGTGCTTATGCCAGTGGTGGGCTATTCTAAGGCACGGGGATCAATACTTTATCATGCTGGGGAATCAGGCTTGGGGAACCGATTTAATGTGATTTTGTTTTAATGCTTGATCTGGGGTGCTGTAGCTGTTTAATAATTGATTCTGGTTGTAGAATGTTGATATACCATGCAGTAGATACTTGACAGGTTAGGCCTGTTAGGTCTCTTTGAAAATTGGTGCATGCATGTTGGATGTTTTCAACCAGAGTTTTCCCATTTGTAAGCAACAGAAATGAAATTCAAATTGGCTTAATTTTTAAAAAGGGAATGGATTAGCTTGCATAATTAAAAGTCCAGTAGGGATAGGCATGCTTTATGCACAGCCGGGTCTAAGTGTGGTTTCCCTGTTTCTCATTGAAAAGTTTTAGTTCTCACTTCAGTGGTTTTGGCTTTTTTACGTACTAGGTGAATTTTTCTGATATTACTGCTTTACTGAATGACACTTGAAGATCAAGGTTGCTGGACCAAAAATTTGACCACTTAGAGGCAATGAAATGTAGTTAGGATTCTACTGATATAATTATGTTATTTTATTATATTTTTGCATGGGATGGCACCATGTGAACAATTGGCTGTGGTAGAGCTCTTAACGTACTTGCAGGTATACGCACAGACAAGTGTAGTAACGCTTTCCCCTGCTCTGCTTGTCTGCAGGCAGTGAAGTGAAATCTGCAAGAGTCCTGCTCGCTCAAGGCCTGCATACAGGAAAGAAGCAGGGGAAAAGCGTTACAATCAGCTTTTGTTCTACAGCATTTTAAAACCCACCAGGTATGTCAGATTTTTGGTCTGTCAGCCTTGACAATGCCCCTTGAAAACTGAGTACTCTTCGAAATGATAGGCCATGTCATTGAAATGTTTTTTAAATGTGACTGTGATAAAAGCTCTTGTAAGATTTTTGTTGTTGGAAAGAAATATCAGAAACCTGTAGTGTTATTTGACACTAGCTACTAAAATAGTTTTTTTACTACCACATTGTTAGCCAGTCTGAGAGTGGCAGATGTGATGAAGGATATATTAAAAATTCTTTATAGATTTTTACTTACAAGATTTAAAAAAAATTTAAAGTCAATCTTGTGGGATTGATTGAACTCAAAACATATTTTGCATTACCTAACCATACTCTGAAACATTTGTGACTTTAGACTACAAAAGCAAAAGAAAAAATTTTACATTCACTACTTGTAGTTGCCAAGTTACTCATTCAGTTATGTTGTTTTTTAGGTATATTGGAAAGTCTGATTCAGTTACGATCAGTGTATGGAATCACAAGAAGATCCATAAAAAACAAGGTGCTGGATTTCTTGGTTGTGTTCGACTTCTTTCCAATGCCATCAACCGCCTCAAAGACACTGGTTGTGAGTAGATACGAGTGTTTTTTAAAATATAAAAATATAGGGGCGCCTGGGTGGGTTGGATGTTTGTTAGGGATCTTGCCTGCTGGTCGTGATTTGTCCCACTTCAGCGTTGAGACAGCCAGTTCCCATCCGGGCGATTATTGTTCCCCGCCGCATTATTTGGGCTGATGGCCCAGAGCCCGGGAGCCTGTTATTTCCGCATTATTGTATTACCCCCTCTTCGCCACCTGTCTCCCGGAATGGACAGCTCAGTTTCCACGTTGTACTCTCCTCCGTTTGTTCGTACATCTCTCTGTCCCAAAAAAATCAAATAACGTTGAAAAAAATAAAAAAAAAAAAAAAAATATATATATAAACATAGGTACCACACATGTGACTCTAGGTTGACAGCTCAGAGCCTGAAGCCTGCTTCAGATTCTGTGTCTCCCTCTCTCTCTCCCTCCTTGCTCACGGAATGCCTGCTCTGTCCATTTCCAATTAAATGGAAACAAACATTAATTTAAAAATGGTTCAAAAATATAGTTCATGGTCTCCGTTAGGTCATATTCCTTGTCTGTGGTTCTTACCTAGTATGATCCAGGTAGCTTGAACCCCACTTGGTGTGAGCATGAGCCCTGCTTCAGGTAAAAAAACATGAGCCCTGCTTTCGGTGAGCCCACCCTTCCTACTCCTCCTCTCCTCCTCCCTCCTCCCTCCCTCCGCCCCTTGTGAGATTCTCTCTCTCTGCCCCTCGCTCACTTGTGTCCCCCCTCAAAAAAAAAATATGTATGTGTATGTTTGTTTTTGCAGGGGGTGGGCAGGGATCCAAAAATTTAACTTCCTATGTATGTTTGAAACATTGGTAAAAATTCTTGTTTAAATTTATTTTATGGACTTTATAAAAAGAATGAAACATTTAAAATAGTGAGACTTGAACTGAATCAGAACTGATACTTAGTGTACAGTGAGTTTATAAGTGTTAGGAAATGTTTGATATCCAAGAGTAAAAAGAAGGGTGTCAAAGTGTTGTATATGCCTTTTTAACATTTCTTAGCACCCTTCTCTGGTTTTGGTGGATTAATGAGATAAAATGAGTTTTATTTAGGTGACTGGAGTGTTTAAGGTGGCAATTAAAGGAGAATTATTAGTGAATAAGAATGATATATAAAACTAAAAAAAGTTAAAAGTTCTAGAAAGGTAAGACGTTGATTGTAAGACAGCTGTGTTAACTGCTTAATTATAGCTTAGTTTTACACTAGCCTGGGCATTTAGAAGATCAGACCAAGGTTAAGACATTAGAAATGATTTTAGTATTGGATTGGCAGTAACCAGGTGACAAAACATCTTTTTGGAAGGTCTTTCTTTTGGGACATAGCTGAAGATAACTTTTTTGACAGAATTTTTTGTTGTTTTTACAGAATTTTTTTTCATATAATGTAAAAAATATTGCTAGTCATTCATTGTCATGGGATTTTAGTCCAGATACCTCTGCTAAACAGAAATTCACATGGAATCTAGCTAAAGAAATTAATAAATAAAGAGTAAATTTTTCTTGGAGTATTAGATACATTAAGAGACAATCCCTTTTACTGTAGTATGATACCACAGTCCAGATATATAAGTATTGATCTGTTAAGAAGAAAAAGGGAGAAAATTGCACCAGAAGCTCTGAGTCAGGGGAATTTAAAGGCACTTGAGAATTTCTTGTATTTCTGAGTTGACAAGGTGGCTGACCCAAAAGGAAATAGAGGACGCTGGGATGGGAAGAGGTCTAGTATATAAAAATGAACTGTTTTATTACCCAACCCAGCAGGCAAACTGAAGACTTACAGGCCACATGGATGACCTTATCTTTGGTTCAGTTTAGCCAGCATTTATCAAACCTTTAATGTGCCAGGTACTGTTCAAATCCATGGTGGATGTAAAGGTGAAAAGGGGCATGGATCCTGTCCTCTGAGAAACCAGGGCAAAGGCCTGCTGGCCTGTGCTGGCAGAGGGAGCAGGACACACTGGAAGGACTGAACAAGAGAAGAGGAATTGCCTTGCAGAAGTCTACTGTACAGTTGATTTGGTCGCGTCCATTTATTTTGCAAGGGGAAAAAGTTTCTCTTTTTGGCTGGATAAATCTGGTGGGACACAGATTTTTCTTTGTGCTGCCTGTGGATGTTTCATTGCATTTATTGCCTTGACCTTTTTGATGTGCAGTAATACTTAATTTATCAAATGTTTATTGAGCACACTGTACAGCGTTCTGCCAGTTAGGAGCAGAGAATTCAAAGACTAATGTATGGTCTCTTCCTTTTTATCAATTCATGACTTCTTTGAATAGATGGCATACATATATATATATATATAGCTGTAAAAGAACTCAGTTTTAAGTGCTATAATCAAAGTAAAAGCAGCGTGCTGTGGGTGACACTGTTCCTTCCTGTAACTGGCCAGGTCAGTGTTATGTCTGTTCTATTAATGAGGCATGAGAGAATAAATGAGTTGCTCCTAAATGAGTTAGTAGAACTGACTCAAACCCTTATCTTACAGTTTATACTTGGCTTCTTATTAATATTTACTTTATGTGTATGGAGGTCATTTGAAATGGTTAGATAAAAAATAACAGTGATAATAACTCACATTTATTGAACACTTATATGCCAGGTACCTAAGAGTTTTACATAATTACCTGATTTGATCCTTCAAAAATACGAGGTATAGGTACTACGTGAGAAAATCAAGACTCAGGGATAAATTGCTTAAGGACAACAGCTATTAAGTGACAAGCCAAGACTCAAGACAAGTGTCTGAAATCTTTGGAGAAAAAGTAATTGCATGTTGGCAATGTATATACACCAGTGACTTAGAGTTTTTGAAATCCAAATTTATCAAAACTGTTGTTAAGACATTTGTACCAATTATATATACAGTTAGAGGTTTTAAATGTTTGTTTCATCTTTAAAATGTTATTATTTAAATTATAGGCCTGGTTGCCATTGGATTATGGAAATTTACCATCACTCTATAGATGTTAGAAGCTCTGATATCAGCTTATTTTTTAATTGCTTTTTTTGTTGATTTCAAATAGATCAGAGGTTGGATCTATGCAAACTTGGGCCAAATGACAACGATACGGTTAGAGGACAGATAGTAGGTAAGTGTGGAAATTTAAAGTTATGTGAAATTTTGGCATCATTCAGACTGACCTAAACTCTGTGTATCTTTTAAATCCAAGTACACTAACTATAGCTTCATTGTATTGGCTTAAATTAAATGAGTCACATAAAATATTTCAAACAGTGGATCCAGGTTCCTGGCTACCTTAATTTAAAAAATTATTTAAAAAAAACCCTTCAAACTATGAATAATATAAAAAAAAAATAGAGGCTCCTAATGTAAAGAACTATTGATCCCTTAGGCATTCATTTAAAGTATGCGAATATATGGTAGCACACTAAGATAAACTTTTACAGATGATCTGAAAGTTTTCTAAAAATAATCCTTAAACTGGTTTTTGATAAGAATATTCGATTGAACTTTGTTTAATGCTTTACAGTTTTATAATAATTGTGCTAATTGGAAAAAAAAATGAAGGATAGTATAGCACTGATTGAAAAAGGGGAGAAGCTATTACTTTACTCATAAGGTCTGTCTTGAATTGATTCAGAGGAAGGGCTTAAAGGTAAAATTTTCTGAGACCTAAGAATTGATGGATTGAGCTTTGATCAAGATACATAGTGTGGTAGGGGTGCCTGAGTAGCTCAGTCAGTTAAGCGTCCAACTTTGGCTCAGGTCAGATCTCACGGCTCTTGGGTTCGAGCCCTGCGTCAGGCTCTCAGAGCTTGGAGCCGGCTCAGGATTCTGTCTCCCTCTCCCCCCCCACCCCCACCCCCGCTTGTGTTCTTTCTCTTTCAAAAATAAACATTAAAAAAAAAAAAAGATACATCATGTGGTAGGACACTGAGATGGACTCCTTTGAGGCTTCTTAAAAACAATAAAATGCAAGTGGGATCCCACCACTTCACTACAGAGCAGAATTTAGGATAAGTTGATCGCATTATGAACCTGTCAGAGGTTTCAGTTACTGAAGTTACTTTTGAAGGGCTTCATTTTCCCAGGAAATGAATTGGGTTCATAGTTAGTGAATTGCCAGAGTAGCGACCTAACAAAGCCCTGTTGTAGTTACCACAGGGAAGTATCTACACTGCAGCCTTATTGAGAATTCCTGTCATTCTTAGATTGAGAAGGGAGTAAAAAAAACCTCAAAAATAAATGCTGGCATATAAAACTTTAAAGTAAGAACAATCACATTTAATTTGATTTCGCATGTCATATAATATTTGCCAACTAATGTCCAGTAGTAACAAAATAGTTTGACTAGGTGTAAATTGGCATTTATAAAAACAATCAGCTTTCCTTTGTCAGCAGTTAGAAATATATCTATGGAGTATACTGTATAAAAAAGGAATGTTTTACTTTAAAATGTGTGCATGTGTAGTTAAATTTGAAGCTTTTGTATGAATTTAGTTTTCATAGTAGAGATGAGTTGGACTCACACATTATGCTTCATGATCCTGCCATTTAAAAACAGAATGAGTTCCAGTTCTTGCTGAATTAGACTTTTGCAAATAATTATAGGGGTACCTGGGTGGCTCGTCTGTTAAGTATCCAACTCTTGATTTTGGCTCAGGTCATGATCTCATGGTTTGTGAGTTTAAGCCCTGTGTTGGGCTCTGTGCTGACAGTACAGTCTGCTTGGGATTCTCTCTCTCCCTCTCTCTCAGCCCCTCCCCTGCTCATGCTCTCTCTCTCCCCCTCTCAAAATAAACATTAAAAAAATAATTATACATATTCATAACACTTTTTGAGAAATGAAGAAAAGTATGCTAGAATACTAATTTAAAAAAATATATATCCCTTTCTAGTAATTTTATATACTTTTATGTGTGTATATTTTTTATGGTTTTGGTTCATGGTTTGGTTTATGGTTTTGGTTTTGGTTCAGTGAATGTAAAATTTTTGTTTTCCTTCACTTACTGTAACCATTATTAGTGTTCAAGGGGTGAATTATATCAATATATCAAAACTTGATTATTGGACGGTTAAGTCATTTTTTTTGCTATTATAACATTGAAAGTTGTAAGCATTTTTGGACACTTAGCTTTATCCTTTTCTTGGACTATTACCTTAGGAAAAGATATCCCAGAGGTGCCTGGGTGGCTCACTCTGTTGAGCGTCCGACTTTGGCTCAGGTCATGATCTCACAGCCAGTGAGTTCGGGTCCCGCATCGGGCTCTGTGCTGACAGCTGAGAGCCTGGAGCCTGCTTTGGAGTCTGTGTTTCCCTCTCTGCCCCTCTCCTGTTCATTATCTGTGTTTCAAAAAATAAAATGTTAAAAAAAAATCTACCAAATTGAGATGACTGATTCAAGTTTATAAATCTTTTCCCTGTTACGTTTAAAACTGTTACTCCGTTCTTCCCATGTCTTGTGAAGTTTTTCTTTTTTTGTTATAATATAAAAATAGAGAAGATAAGGAACACCCATAATATGCCATCATTGTTATTAGCTTGATGTATATACCTTTTCTGTTTTTTTAAATGAGATTATACTGTGCAGAATTTTAAATAACCTGTTTTAATCTGTCCTAAACATCTTTCGTTGTTGCTGTTGTTGTTCATAGATTTATTTCTAAAGCATTTTTGAAAGAGTGGGTTTTCTTAAATGTTTTTAAAATTTATATATTTTTTTATTTTGAGAGAGAGTGCAAGCTGGAGGGTGGGGGGCAGAGAGAAGAGAGAGAATCCCAAGCAGGCTCTGCACTGTCAGCTTAGAGCCTGATGCGGGGCTTGATTCCGTGAACAATGAGATCATGACCTGAGCAAAAATCAAGAGCCAGACACTTAACTGACTGAGCCACCTAGGTCCCCCATTTCTATAGCATTTTTAATGTTGTATAGTAGTCCATGGTGGGCAAATAATTAATGTAGCCAGTCGATTATTGCTGTTTATTTAGATTGTTTCTGATGTTTTAGTGCTAATGAACAGCGCTCTTATAAACATAGTACTTCTATGACTCCTTATATCGCTAGAATTAGACCATTTAAAAACACAAACCTAGAAATTGCTTAGGTGTCTTGTAATATAGCATTCTGGAGCTGAAGCTCATGAAATCCTTAATTTTGAGCCTTAATATTATTCTAAACAATGCTAATGAGAAAATACATCGTTTTTACAGTGATTATATATTGGTAAGCATTTCAGTTAGCTTTTCTGTATAAAAACTGGTTAATGTTTTCTAGTACAACTTTCATATAACATTTTGCTTATATTCACTGAAGAGAGGTATATTACCATGTTGTCATCTATAAATGATACTCATATAAAGGAGTGATGTGTTGAACTTTCTGATTTTTCAAAAGTTTTACAGAACTGGATGATTTTAGAATTTTGAGATCCTTCCTAGAATGAAGGGTCTTAAAATATCATACTTTATGTAGTAACTGTTTAGGAAGTTAGGTTATAGTTGGGGTACCGGGTGGCTCAGTCAGTTAAGCATCTGACTTCAGCTCAGGTCATGATCTCACAGTTCATGAGTTCGAGCCCCACATTGGGCTCTGCGCTGATGGTGCAGAGCCTGCTTGGGATTCCCTCCCCTCGCCCTTCCCCCCGCCCCTCTTTCTCTCTCTCTCTCTGCCCCTCCCACCCCCTTGTATGAGTGCTCTTTCTTTTTCTCTCAGAAGAAACAGACGTTAAAAAAAAAAAAAAAAAGTTTGGTTATAGTCAAATTTGCCTGTTCCTTTCTATCTTTGAGGAGAATTACCAAAAATAGAATTAAAGAATATTAAAGCAGCAAGGAAGGACTTCAGGCTTATCAGTTAGCCTAGCTTCCTCATTATTTAGATTGGGATTATGTAAACTTTTAGGATTTTAAGTGTTTTGTTCAAGGTCACAGTGCTAAACTAGGTATTAGAGCCTGGTCTAGAGTTTACGTCTCTTGCTTCCAAATTTATAGCGGTAGTTTTACACCACACTAGATCCTGATGTAGGGTTTTGACTTATGGAATCTAAGTGTTGCCCTGTTGCCAGAATCTGGTGTGTTTTGTTAAGTATTTTAAAGATGGGTCAAGAATTAAACCCAAATTGATACGAACTTTTCCAGTTCTTTTGTATGTGAATATACCTTTAATGCCTCTCTTAAGTATAGTAGGAGGCTTGCATTGCCCCATTACAATGGGCAGAAAGGATTTAGACTCCCCTCCATGAACATGACAAAGCATAGAAGATCATAAAATTCTAATACCACTCCTAAAGGGAAACATCTCATGGAAAAAGAAAATATAGAATTTATTAGAAGCTAAAGAATCCATTCTAAAGTATTAAGATAAGCCAGATGTCTTTAAAGATACATATTTTAAATTGTAGAAAATCTTTCTAGTAATTATTCTTAGTAATTTTTTTGTTGTGTTATAGTAAGCCTTCAGTCCAGAGACCGGATAGGCACAGGAGGACAAGTTGTGGACTGCAGTCGTTTATTTGATAATGATTTACCAGATGGGTAAGCTGAAATCATTAGAGAAATGTGTTGATAATGTCCTTCAAATAATGACAAATAAGTTGACATTTATTGTATACTTTAGAAATTTGCTGATCAGTTCCAGAATCTAGATTTTCCTTGTACTTGGAAAATTAGCAAGGGACCTTGTCAAGTCAAATTTATAAAATAAACCATGAATTAAATGTGTTACATTTATTTTTTAAGAGTTTTGACTAGGAGACCATCAAATTTCTTGACAGATATCTCTGTCTTGTAAATACTATGTATTTAAAAGAACAACTTTTTTGCATGATTAAATTATTCAAAACAGGGCATATAAATGCTGAATCTGAGACATAACTCCATTTAGAGGGATGGAATAGAGATTTGTGGAGTAAAAATGACAAAAACATAGGAACATTTGTTGAGTATGTGTGTGTCAGATACTGTTGTAAGCATTTTATGTCAGACATTAGATCGTTTAACTCACAGGCTTGTGATTCTGGAATTAGACCATCCGGATTCCAGTCCTTCCTCTTCTGTTTACAAGCTTTATGGATTTAATAAGTTCATTTAACTTCTGTGAGCATTGGTTTATATTTACTTCTAGAAGAGGATGGTGATAATAGTGTATATGCCATAAATTGTGAGGATTAAATGAGATCATTCGTGTAAAGCACTTAGCACAATGTTTGCATATAGTAAGTGCTTAATATATAGTAATATATTTTATATTATAAATATATATAATATTAAGATAATATATATAAATGATCAGCTACTGTTATTACTCCTGCCACTACTGTTGTTACCCTCATTCATTCCACAGATTAAAAACACTGGGTCAGAGAAGTTAAGTAAACTTGCCTTAAAGGCCACATAGTGGATGGTAGACTGGAACACAGACTTATTTAAGCCTTGATTCCACATCTCATGCTTTTGATCACTGCTTTCTCTGTTTGATACTAGTGCTGACACTTTCTGACTTCATTTTTAACTTGAATGAGGTGTAGTTTACGTACAATGAATTATTTCAAGTATATAATTGGTTGAGTTTTGACTTCAATTATTTTTGATACGGAATTTTACATCCAAGTCAGGGTATTTGCTCACTTTGTTTAAATTCTTAAAAATTGCCATAATTTAATTCTGTTTATACCTCACTTTAGCTCCTTGATCTATATGTTAACTTTTGTGGATGGGATGTAGATTTTGGTAATTTTGAAGGGGAAGTTTGGGACGAAATAACTAAACAGTGTTAAGAGATTACAACAATGCAAGGCTTATTTTTCTAAGCTTTTGGTTCTTTATCGTACTTTTTTTCCCATTTGTTTTTATGATGTATCCTTTAAAAGCTTGGTGTACATTTTATAATACAGTCGTACATATGTATAATTTATAAATTAATTGATAAATAATACTCCAGTACTGTATTCTGATTGTAATCACAGGAAAAGACCTCTTAGCATTTCTTTATTTCCTGGTTTTTATGGCCTCTAAACCTCTGCTTGGGTTTTGGTGGAAGTATTAATATTATTACATTTCTGTGGTCATTTGCCCTTTTTTTTATTGTTGTTACATGCATTAAAAAGTTATTGAGGAGGAAGTACCAATCTTTTTAAAAAACTAATTTGGGTAGGCTAAATGTTTTAAAAAGCTTTTATATGCTTTAATGTTAGATTTAATTTTAAAAATTAGATGTGATTTTTATTTTTAGTATGGCTTTTTTTTTTTTTTTTTTTTTTTTTTTTTTTTTTTTTTGCCACTAAATTCTGAAGAAATAGTGTAATTTAGTTGAGCCTTAATGACATTATTGAAAAATTCTGAGTTTGGCTGATGGAGAATGTTAGGCACACCTCAGTGTAAATATTGTAGAAGTTTCAGAATTCCAGAAGATACAGTGTACATTTTAAAAATAAGTTGAAAAACATTCCTGTATTCTGTGTAATGATTTTCAGTTTGTCATTCCTGATTTATAACAGCAGATGTCTTCCTGGCTCGGTTATTGCCTTAAAAACATTCTGTATCCACCTTCTTATTAATGCCTTATCTCTCAATTTTTATTTAAGCTGGGAAGAAAGGCGAACTGCCTCTGGAAGAATCCAGTATCTAAACCACATAACAAGAACTACACAGTGGGAACGCCCAACACGGTAAGAACATACAAATATCTTTCCCTGGTTGTGCTGTTTGCCTTCCTGAAGTTGTCACTTTCTGTTTATCTGTCAGTCTTACCAGATTTCCTTTCTTGGTTTATACTGCTCAAGATCAGTAGATCTTACAGCGAGTGCCATTATTATTATTTTTTTTAATTTTTTAACGTTTATTTATTTTTGAGAGAGAGACAGAGTGTGAGCAGGGGAGGGGCAGAGAGAGAGGGAGACGCAGAATCTGAAGCACGCTCCAGGCTCTGAGCTGTCAGCACAGAGCCTGACGTGGGGCTTGAACCCACAAACTGTGAGATCATGACCTGAGCTGAAGTCAGACGCTTCACCGACTGAGCCACCTGGGCACCCCTAGCAAGTGCCATTATTATTTTCAAAAAGTAATTTTCGATGAAGGTTGTTTAGCAAGTCATCCTGTTATTGCAGCTCTAGGGCCTGTGAAGGTAATTAGTAAGTATTGATTAAATAAGTTAACTGAATAAATTGAGAAGCCATCTCATTTCTGGGACTGTTAAAATTTTTTTTGAGTCTGTTATTGAATGGCTGTAAGAGAATATATATACCGGATCTTCATTTGTTCAGTCATGTAGGGGTACGATTATATCATTATATTACATCTAGTAAGGTCTGTGATCAAGATAAGAATGCAGATGCTCTGAGACCATATGGAGGGCCCCTTAACTTAGAGCGGGGAGCAAGGGGATGGTAGAAATTGCAAAGGAAAACTCTGAAGGAGGGGAATTTCTGAACTAAATCCTGAAGAATGTTCGAATTTTACCAGGTGAGGGGAAGGCGGTGAAGAGTGTTCAGAATGGTGGTAACCGTGATCATTCAGTTCACCAAATGGTTCTATGCCAGGCACTGTGCGCATCATTTGCTCTGTTAACAGGGAACGAGGCCGAACAGCCTTCATGGAGCTTAATGTGTAGAGACATGAGGAAGTAAGAGAATTTTTGGAAATTCCAAGAAAGTACTTTTTAAAGTAACTGATAATGAATAGGATAAGTGGCTGAATTTCCTTTTTTGCTTTAAAAGTCAGAACAGAGTTTATTTGCCACTTCTAGTGAGTGTTTGTTTAGCCCTCCACCCCCTTTTCCTAAGCAGGTCTGGCACCAGACATAGATCATCAAATGGTTCTCTAAGTTATACCCACTTTTATTTATTGGGGATTAATTGCCGAACTCATTAAATCACAGTTTTCCCTATTATATTATGATTCTCAGGTAAAAGCTTAGCTCACGTTGGCATTTTTTTTTTTAATTTTTTTTTTTTTCTTTTCTCAACGTTTTTATTTATTTTTGGGACAGAGAGAGACAGAGCATGAACGGGGGAGGGGCAGAGAGAGAGGGAGACACAGAATCGGAAACAGGCTCCAGGCTCCGAGCCACCAGCCCAGAGCCCGACGCGGGGCTCGAACTCACGGACCGCGAGATCGTGACCTGGCTGAAGTCGGACGCTTAACCGACTGCGCCACCCAGGCGCCCCCTCACGTTGGCATTTTAAAAGATACTTGAGAGTTGTATTTCTAGTATTAAACTGCCAAGGATTTTACTGAAGTCCAAGAACATTTTTATTGTATCTGAGTGTAAATGAATGTGTACCTGTGTCAGTGCTTTAGTGAAGTCCATTTCCTTTTAACTTCTTTAACTGATGAAATTCACTTTAATTTCCACCAGTATAAAGTTGATTGTGGTTGTAAATGTTAGTTTAAAAGTTAACTCTTGGGGCACCTGGCTGGCCTTAGTTGGTTAAGTGTCTGCCTTTGGCTCAGGTCATGATCTCATGGTTTGTGGGTTCAAGCCCTGTGTCAGGGTCTGTGCTGACAGCTCAGAGCCTGGAGCCTGTTTCAGGTTCTGTGTCTCCCTCCCTCTCTGCCCCTCCCCTGCTCGTGCTCTCTATCAAAAATAAATAAACATTAAAAAAAATTAACTCTTGATTATCCTCTTACATTTTGGATTACCTACCAGTATACTGGAAGTTCTTTGAAGAGTCACATCATCATCTTTATTCATTGTGTGTGTGTGTGTGTGTGTGTGTGTATGCCAAGCACTGTTCCAGGTACAGAGAATATATATAGTGGGAAATGAACCAGGCAGACTTTCTTCTCTCAGTAAATATTCTAGTAAGGGAAAACAAGGGTACAGATTAAAAAAAAAGTGTCAAATAATTGCTATGCTGAGAAACTAGGGTGATGTACTTACCAAATGCCTGGGTGACTACTTTAGGATTGAAGGTCAGGAAAGACCTCTCAGACATTTAAGCTTAAGCTATGATTTGAATGACAAGGAGGAGCCTGTCTGGCCTAGGGAGAATAAGAGAAAAAAGTTTTTGAGGTGGGAGGAAGAGCTCCTTTCCAGTACTAAAGGTAAACTGGTCTTGGCAAGTTCAGGGAACAGGAAGAATGTCCAGAAGTGGAGTGAGAGAAAGGTGGGAAGTCAGATCTGAGAGGCAGGCTGAGGCTAAGTCAGGTAATGCTTTGTAAACTAGTACTCACATCTGTAAATATATGTGGATTTTGTATACAATGTAATTAAAATCAGTATAAAATGATTTCAATAAATAACTGACCGTCTGCTTTATCATATGAGTTTGTACTTAGAGGTGTCAAGTTTACTTTGATTCAGAGTTCTTGAAATCATTCTATTTGCATTGATCACTCCATTTCCTTGTGATTGTCCCTGCAGTACATACGTCGTCTAGAGAACTCTACTTTCGATATCGCACTTGAGTAACTTTTTCTTCCCCTGTTACTTTTCAATAGACCAGCATCTGAATATTCTAGTCCCGGCAGACCTCTTAGCTGCTTTGTTGATGAGAACACTCCAATTAGTGGAACAAATGGTGCAACGTGTGGACAGTCTTCGGATCCCAGACTGGCCGAGAGGAGAGTCCGGTCACAACGACATAGAAATTACATGAGCAGGACACATTTACATACTCCTCCAGACCTACCAGAAGGCTATGGTATGACTAGCAGAGGAAAAAATAAAGTGTGATTTACTGATTTCAGCTTGCTAAGAAAGCCAGAAAATCAGCCGTAAAGAAGTTAGTAATCTGGGTTTAGGGATTCGGCATGAAAATAAATGTGTAAAACCTCCCAATCTGAAAAGTCTTTGAAGTGGTAGCGGTCGGCCCGCCCAGCGGTTTGACTTGGGCTAGTCATTTAACCTCAGCCCTTTGGCACTTATTTTATAAAGACATGAGGTGAGTGACACCTCTCCTGGTCACAAAGCTATTGCTAAGAGTACACGGAACAATGTGAGATTACTTTGCCAGTAGGCACGATGTAAAGGTAAAATGGTAGAGTTATCGATGATGATAATCTGAAGGCAGACCCACAGTGTAATTTTCTAGACCTGCATATTTAGAAGTGACTTGAAAAGCATATTTCTGACAGTATCAGTATATTTGTGTTGTCTATAATTTTGGATCATCTGAATGATTTGGTTTCGTGTTGTAAATGACTTAGTCACTTCTATGTTTGTATAAAATTATTATAATCTTATATAATTTCCTAAATTGTAGAATTTCACATGGAAGATGACTTGAATCTTCTAGTTGAATACAGAACTTTCTAAATCAGTTACAACTTGTGAATGCTCTTGTAGATACTATGAACTTGTCTTTTCCTTTCTTGCTCAAAGTTAACCAAAGGAATTACATCCTCGCCCTCTCAACTGCCTGCAGATAAACCATTCTGGGCTGATGGTGACACCTAATGACCAACATTGGGAATCGCCTGATCTAACTTGTATTTTCTTTTTCCTCTACAGTATGTTGTAAACTGTTCTGCAAATGCAGAATTCTAGCTTTATTTTTTAAATATATTTTAACTCTTTAGTTAAAAAAACCCAATTTGTCCATTAATTGTGCTGTGCTGCACAGTTTAATGACCCAGGTAGCACAGTGATGAGAGCATGGACTTGGGAGACAGACCTGGGTTTATATCCTGGCTTTGCCACATGTTAGTTGTGTGACACTGGGCACATTAATTTCTCTGAGCCTCAATTTATCTTCCACAGAATGGGGAAATTGATAGTCCCAACCATGTAGGTTTGTTGCAAGAGAGGAGGGGTGATTTCATGTGAAGTGCCTGACACAAGGTCCAGCATAGGAAGCACTTAGTAAACTCTGGCTGTTATTAATGTTCAGACCCTAGAATAAAGTATCTTCTGTCATTTCTCTGTAATTGAGGTTATAAGGCAAGCTGTTTGGAGTGGGGTGGTTATATTTTTATTTTACTTGTGTGATTTGAATTAAAAACAAATTTTGTACACCTGAAACCTAGGAGTAAAGTGGGCGCCAGGGCTGAAGTTTTTGCAGCTGTCATCTATCACCAATTTTAGACATTTTTATGTTTATAATTTTAAGAAGCATAAACTTTAAGTTGATTGACTTTATTGTAGGCTTATAAACAAAGGCATACTGATAAATATTAGTAGTTTCACCATTTAATATGTTAGAATTTTTCATTAGATTTTGTTTAAAGACAAGTGGTTCTGTTGCTTAAAAACACAAATAGACTAAAAACCACTGTTGAAGAAACTCTTCAGCAGATACCTCCTCTTTGCCCTGACTTCCTTATTCTCTTCCCGAGAGCTCGGAGTTCATTTCGAGCTTTGACCTTTTTCTCCCCAGAATGCATGCCTGTTCTTTTAGTCCTTCTTTTTCCAGCTTGCTTATTTTTGTATCTTTGTCTGTTTTTGACTATAGAGTGTCTCTCCTAGTGGAGTATTCCATCTTTTTGCCTTTGAGTCTAAATAGAGTCTTGAGAATATACCTCTCTCAAGAAAAGAAAATACATAAGTTTGGTATAAAATTAGGAATAATAAACAACTATTACCAGCCTGCAAACCCTTTGAAAGCTTTTGCAAGTCCTGTCAGCATCTCCCACAGTTGGTTAGCCTCTTCCTCTGAGCTTTCTTTTGTTCCCCTCAGGCTCCACTTTAAGAAAAATAAAAGATCATTTCTCATGTTTGTTTTGTTTAAATATTGGTACTGTGACAATCTTGTTTTCTGTTTTCCATAGCAACATGTTTAGTATTTGAGCCACGTTGTAAATTTGTTGGCTTTAGTTAGCTGGCCTCTGGCTCTCATCACCATTTATAAGGTTGTTTTCCAGGAGAAGATGTATTGAGTTGAGAAAAAAAATGATTTATAAAGCACTTTTTTTTTTTTTT